CTGAAACATGACAAGCTGACAGACATGCACGATTGAGGAGCACTATAAAGCAAATAATATGGTCTGCACTGAGGTATGCATTCTTGTTTTGTATCAGATAACAAGGGTGTTCTTATTAGTTACTGTAAATCATGAGGTTTTACAGCTAGCTTTTACACCACAATTTGAATTCATCTCACAATATTTGTGCACATCCTTATCATCTAGCTGGAGGGGGAAATTTTTTGGGGATAAGCCATGGAACCAGAATTGCATTGTTTTTGATAACTTTCATTTCGAACTGAATTGCTATTTTACATTAATCCTTTTTTTCTACCTCATTCTCAAATTGAAGTAGCTTAATTAATCTCTTTGCAAATTATTTAATTTATTTTTTCAATGGCCATTGCAGAGGAGGGCCCCACATGCCAACACTCTCCATCCCCTCCCTATACTATGCAGAATGATAAAGGAAAGAAAAATATGTGTGGTGTACGTCTTTCTTGCTCAACAACGGGTTATGATGCAGAAAGTAACTAGTGAGGTTATACAGTTTCCATAGTGACTGTCTCATTTAAATGGTCTATTTCTGGATTTCCATCAGAGATTACCGGTGTGGTTATGATGGAAGTGCTCTGCGATTAGGGTTGGGCATCAGCTAAGCAGTGAGTAACAAAAGAATTCATTTCCTGAGGAATATTTTGGGGGAAATTAAACCACCTTGCAAATGGCAGAAATAAATGTGTCTTGATTTAGATTTTAATCCAATTTTTTTGTTAGTATTATTGACCTTATCAAACTAAATTATTAATAATGTGCCACCTTAATTCTATGACCATCCACAAAAGTACTTGTCTCCCTTACAGTTATGATGGAAAAAAATAACCCATTATTGCAGGATTACTGACAATACCAGAGTAATATATTCTAAGCAAAAGTTTAGATTTCAGAAGAACAACCGCTGAATCTTGCTGAACGGGATCTATAAGGGACAGGGAACTACTGGAGAGACTCCAGCAGAGGGCTACTAAGATGATGAAGGAACTGAAGCATCTCTCCCACAAGGAAAGGCTGAGAGACTTGGGTCTGTTTAGCCTGGAGAAGAGAAGACTGAGAGGAGATCTTATCAACACTTATGAATATCTAAAGGGTGTTAAGAGGATGGGGCCAGGCTCTTTTTGGACAGGACAAAGGACAATGGGAACAAACTGAAGCATAGGAAATTCCACCTCAACATGAGGAAAAACTTCTTCACTCTGAGGGCACAGAGCGCTGGAACAGGCTACCCAGGGAGGTTGTGGAGTCTCTGTCTCTGGAGGTATTCAAAACCTGCCTGGATGCAGTCCTGTGCGACCTGCTGTGAATGAACCTGCTTTAGGAGGGGGGACTGGACTAGATGATCTCCAGAGGTTACTTCCAACTCCTACCATTCTGTAATTCTGTGATAAGTCACCATGCCATAGATGACCTAAACTCCAACAACCCACATGAATGTACCTAATAATGTTTCCCATAAGGTGTTATTTAGTCAAATTTACCCCAGGTGAAATTACAGAAGACAATGAATTTACTACATCTTTATAACCTTTTAATTAGGGACTTCATTTCTGCCAACCCCAGCCTTTTCACTACTTGCAAAGCCAGAGTTTATGGAAACTAGATTCCACAGTAACTCTCAAAACATCCACTCATTTCTGCCACATAGAAATAGTACATATGCTTGCTCTCAGTTTTAATTCTTACTGATCTTCGTTCCTACAGAAGCCTCTAGCAGAGCAGCCTAGAAGATGGATAACAAAGCTGAGTGCAAAATGCTCTGAATTAACTTTCACTTTTGCTAGAATCTGTAATTCGCTCAATTTCCTTTTTTTTTTTCATTTGTAAAATCAGAAAAACATATGACAAACTAAAGGGGTGCTAAATGTTGGTATTTGTAATACAGTTGGAAGACTGACAATGTAACTAATGTGCCTTATACTATCATTTTTCAGTCAGTACTGAGTTCACCTACAGAGAAATACCCTAAGTTCACACCGAGGCCAGTGCTGTTTCTTTCCATCTTTGCATTACCTTCAACCTAAGCTTTTGTATGCACTGTTGTTTTCCATTGTACTCAGACAATACTGCTCTTTCAGCAACAAAGCACTCCCTTCAAATCTTTACAAGGATTTGGAATCATGGGTACAGCTGATGCACTAGAACATTGCTGCTTTCTTATCTATAACCTCTCTAGGCGGCATGCTGAGTATCTTCTCATTCCAGCACATTGTATGCCAGAAACACCTCTTACGCTTCAACTGCTTTTAGTGCAGGAAGAAAAAGCTTTGCTCAAAAGGCAATACACATTGCCTTACTATGGCAGGAGAGTTATTAACAGTAACAATGACCAAATTCTGGAGCTATGCCACCTTTTTAATTTAGCAGTACATTTCAGTAGGAGGATACCTATTCAGATACTCATTTAAACAAAATCCCGTCTTAATGGACTTTCTGATTCAGGATTGCAGTTCTTCCCTTTGATTACAACAAAGCTCAATAAAGCAAATAAGGAATATAAACTGGAAGTAAACGTAACTGCTTTTATTTTTAAAATCAGAATGACCTAACCTCACGTTCACCGCTTCCTACATACACCACTTTGCTTAGGATGTCAGTTTTGTGACACACTTCCTTAAAATTTGATTCAATCCTAACGAATAAAAGACAGATGTATTGAAAAAGAAAGCTAATAAAAATATGTCTACGTTACAGTTTTATACAGAAGCTATGATCTTAACATACAGGTAAAATTTGAGAAAAGCTATAAAGGTACTTACCAGTTAGATACTAGGTTATATATTTAATGCACAATAAAACAAATGTTTGTTATAAATGATGTGCCACTGGAAAACTCTTCAGTGAAGAACATAAAGGAAAGGAAGTTGAGGAAAAACTCTGAATTCCACATTGTATGGCTCTGCAGAGAAAAATCCTCTCTCTCATTAGCTCACCTTTGGCTAGTGATCTCTGTCCTGTTGCGTCTGGCACAGCTAGACAATGTGTATCTGGACCTAAAAAAAAGTTTTGGGATCCACCACTGGATTTGGAAAGGTGGACCTCCTGGCTTTCTGCCGCTTCTCCACAGTCTACTTCTGGTGGCTCATCAGAGTGAATCTGTACGCAGAAAGTTAAAGGCTGATCACCCTCTTCTGTGGCAGAGCTGTTAACTAGGTCAAGCCAGGACTGCCTCTCGGGATAAACCACTTTGGACATCAAGGAAGATGACGACTCTTGGGAGTTGAAAGTGCTTTCAGGAGAGGAGAGAGAACAAGATGCTTCACTTGACAGAGTTGAGGTGAGAGAAGACTTCTGTTGATCCTGTTTTCCAAACAAGGGGAGGGTGGGGGGGGAGAAAAAAAAAAGAAAAATTATTTTCAAGTTATTCCTGTTCCTAGGTTCTACATGTCATAGATATGCAGCTGAAATGCTAACTGACCAAAAACTGATGTAATCTGATAAGTTATCCACCTAAACAAGCCTGAAGTATAGCAGGCAATCTCCTACAGAACAGTAACTTCAGAAACTAAGCCACAATGAAGCCAGAGGTAAAACAGATACAAACTTGATGATACCTAGAAACAAAAGACCAAGGAAAAAAATTCTGTTGAGGGTAGCCTTCCGTGCTGGGTCTCACACTCACATTTTTTCTTTACTTTGTCTTCATTTTATTGATCTAATCAAGACTGCAGAAGAGAAACTCTAAATTAGCCATTGAACATGAAGTTGTCTTGAAGCATTCAATAAATCCACCAATGCCATAACCATAAATAGACAGAAATGGGTGCAAGCACTGAAGCACCTTGACTTTCTCAGCACACAAAACCATTTTACTTGGTCCATTCAAGGGACTAAATATTTGCCAAGGCAATAAGTCTGACAAGTAATATGGTGGCAAGTTAATGGTGGAAAATAAAAACAATCCTGGGGAAGAGGGCAGGAAAAGGAGAATGGTACAGGATTTGTGCTGCTCGTTCACATGCTAAGACTCATTCTTCAGCACATTAATCTGGAAAGCAACCCAAGCTTCACTAGAAATCACTAAGACATGCTAAGGCCCTCCATACTGTACTTCTCACTCTGCCTCAACAAGAGCACATACAACCAGAGAGGTCTCAGAGACATCTAACAGGCATCATTAGGAGCTAGGAGTTGAATGAGAGAGGGTATGATAGATTGCACAATTCCAAGTAAAGAAAAGTTGAGAGAAAGAACAAAGTTTTGAAAAGTATTTGGCTTCCCAGACAAGCAAATAGACGCCCAGGTCTTTGTATACAGTAGACATTTACATTGAATAAGTTGTACTATTATCTGGTCACCAAAAGCAAGTCCCACAAGAAGAACTAGCACTAATCTGCTGCTTCTTAGCCACCAAACACCACTGAAAAGATGAGCCAAGAGAGTAAAATGTACAAGTAATATGTACACACAAATAAACATACAAATAACCAGAAGAGGATTAATTGACAGTAATAAATAAATAAATGGAAGACAAGCGGAGACAAAGCCTTATAATGAAGCTCTTAACAGAAACTATCAGAAATGATGATGAGATCATCAAAGCCAGATTTCTTGTGTCTGCTGCTGCAGAAGTTTACTACGCCTGCAAATCATCTGCTACTAGCCAATGCCAGAATCAGTATACTAGGCTTAATGGACCAAAATTCCGGCAAGACTATGTTATCAATACATACATAGAACAGATCTGTGTAAGGATTAAAACAGGTGATAACTAGAGTGGAAGTATTGAAAATTACTGAGAAGGTGTTGCTAGGGAAACCTGGACAAGCTGTAAACATAATAAAAGAACTAGCCTGGAATACTTATTTATAACCTGGTAAACTAGAAATAAAATCTATTCACATAAACCAAACCAAGAGTAACAATTTTTTGGATTATGAAATATAAAGTTCTGCAATTCAATGTTGCTGTAACGTATACTACTTCCTTTTTACATTAAAAAAAGCAAAATAGATTTGCCTTCCTGTGCTTCTAATCTAGCTGTATCATGTAGCTACTAATCAATTCAGAAGATGAGGAAGACCAATATCAGATTGTGGTCACCATTTGTAGATTATCATCACTTCTGTAAATTTTCAAAGCCATTCCTCCAAGACTGTCCCAAACACTGTGGGACAAGACTTAACTTATATTGTGAGAAGTAAAACCTTGTGTTTCAGGTGCATTTTTGTTTTTTAAAAGGAAACCTTTACAAATGCATCCTAAAGCAAAGGTCAAGGAGATGCTATCATAGATCACATGCGTGAATGCTAAAAACATCCTTGGGAACACAGGTGACCGGAATCATTTCATATAAGAACTCCTACTGCAAAGACAAATTGTTGAAGCATTTGTACAGCCAAGCAGAACAACTGATCAGTAAAAGCTCCTGCTTACATGGTTTGGATGGTCTAATTTCAATTGTTCAAAGACAGGAAAGGAAGATGTTAGATCTCACCTCTATTTTTCTGGCATTTGTCCATGCAAAAAGAAAGTGCCATTGAAATGAAAACTGTGCTTCACTGAGTGGAACATGTTTTTGTTGTTATTTTCCTTGTGTGTTAAATAAAAAAATGTGGGTGAGAATAAAGATGCCTGCCAGAATATGTTTCTTTTTCTCTACATGTATTGTGGATTTTTTTTTTTTCCTTTGGCATGACAGATTTTTACCTAACTTACTCAAGTGGTTCCTTTGGAAGTTTTGCAGTCATGCATATAATGATGAATCTCCATTTGGGGACATTTTAAAAAGCAGATGCTTGAGCCAGCAGATCATAAGGTTCCACCAGAGATCAATGAGTCTCTAGGCATTTTTTAGAGGAAAATTATCACCGTGAAACACCTCAACTGCTCTTTTGGGACTGCTGCAATGTATTGTCTCAACATAGCTGCTGTTTTTTGAACTGTATATCCATTCACATGTGGAGAAATTAATGCAGACGGTCAGTTTAACTTTCGTCCTACAGATGTTAAAATTTACTTGTTCCTCACTTGCTTTTTTTCTTTCACAGTAACCAAAAGCATGCATAAACATAGAAAGCTTATGATCACTACTTTTTTCTTTTTTAAGTTCAAAATGGTTTGGGTCAGCAGAAAACAGGACGGTAAATAAAAACTTTGTGCTAGAAGTACAGCAAAATGTTTGTTATTCTAACACGTAACAGAGCCTGCACCTGGGTGACTACTAGTTTCCAGACTAATAGTTTTCAGGTTGGAGTTTATCTCAAGAAGTTTGGAGGCCTTTCTGTGTGAGACAGCATTGGTTTGATTTTCCAAAATGTCCATAGCTCCTAATTCTTATTTTGTGAAATCCCTTTGGCACTCGAGAGGAAGAAGTACAACTTTTAAAAAAGATAAAAAGAATAAAAAGAAATGAACCCTAGTCAATGCCTGTGGTGTTCTTGATGCTGGGCTGGATTTCAGGGATTCAAGCAGGCCTTCCAAAAATATTGTACGCACAGAGAATTAACCCAAATCCATCACATGTTTGGGATCTCACAGCTTGGTTTAAAAACTCCGCAGAGAATAAACAGGTAGCAAGCAATGTTTAACCAGCCTTCCCTGAGACAACCAAGAGCTCCAATCACAGAATTGACCTTCCAGTAGAAGCTGTCCTTCCCCAGTCCTTTCAGTGGTTTTCTTGGTCCAGTACTTGTCCATAAGGGAAATGGGCATTAAATCAGGTATTTAAAAGATGACTTTGACCCACAGTCAAACACAGCTGCATTGGTACCTAACTGTTGCTACCCACCACATAAGCAAGCTGAGCATAGGGCAGACCCATGGCAGCTGAAGCTTATTCCAGTGGCCACTTCTTGGGTGAAAAGATGACAACTTGGCTCAGGAGACACTAACGTTTGTGCATGGGGGAAGGGATATTAAGCTGGGGATGGGGAGAAGGGAAATCAGCTGAGAGCGGTAAAGGCTGGAGGGAAGATAACCTTTAAGGGAAAGGCTGAGGAAGCAGGACCCCTCAGCACCTGCACCATTGCCTTCCTCCCACACATCCCCTGCTAAAACGTGGAGGCCAGCACTCAAGAAGAGCATATGGGAAGAAGACAACTGGAGATTGCCTCTGCAGCAACTGATCGACAAGCAGCAGGAAGCCAGAAAAACCGAAAACTAAAAAACAGCACCTGTTTAAAACTCATCATCTGGAAAAATGCAAGCATTCATTCAGAGGTGAGCAGATGGAAAAAACATCTACAGCCTTAAAGACAAGCCACTGAGGTATAAAATTCAAGATGCTTCATTATCGGCCCTCAGCCCAGAATAACTTTTGGAGACATATTGCCAAGGTTCCCATTTTCTCCAATATTTATAGCTACTCGGCCACATTTAACTTCCAGTTAATACAGGCAATAAAGAATCACATTTTACACAGCAGTGAACACAATGCACCTCCCCAAGTGCTAGGTGGATTGTTTTACAGTGATTAACGTTACACAACTGTTTCAGGAGAGGAAGTGAAGACTGACTTATCTGACTGAAACAGAAGGGGCAAGTGGGTGACTGTGTGACATATGCTCCAGCTTTATGCAAGCTAATTAAAGATTGCCAGACAGGCAGCCCTGTGCATGACATCTCCTTTTATTGTTGCCTGTGACCACGCAAGTTTCTCATCTGTATATTTTAAATATATTTTGTGCCTACCCCAGCTACTGGATGTCATTTCAGCACTGCCATACAGGAACCTGTACAACACCAATGAGGCAGCAGACACTTCTCTTCCATGAGGTGCAATGAGATTATTTGGTACTAAGTGTATTACTGCATACCTCTTGACCTTAACTTTCATCTGAACTCAAGATTCCTTATTTCAGCTGCATTACCATCCCAAACAATCTTACTCACTTTGAAACACAGAATTAAGTAAACCTCATATGTTAAAGCACGTGTAAGGGGAGATGAAATCACTGGGAAAAACAATAATATAGAAACAAGAATAATAGGGCAATAAGTGGCTAATAATTAGCTGAGTCAATTTGATTAGACACATGAGAGTGCACAGTGCTTATTCAAATTTATGAAATGAAGCAAAGCAGGAAGGAATATTCTGGGCAAATACACTACAGCAAGAGAGAAATATAGCATAGATTTTTGGAGGATGCCTATTTTCTTTTTTTTTTTTATAGTCTGTTTTTCAGGGGTAGAGGAAAATAACTGATTTTTATCACTGTAAGAAGAGGCTTCTTTCCCTTTACTTCTCTCACTGTCACAAAAGCAGCTTCAAATTCAGCAGTCTTAAGAGCAACACAAATAAATGAATACAAATCTGTTGGATGATGCTATTGGGGTGACGAAAAGAAAGAAGATTTGGGACTGATGGAAAAAAAAAGAATAGTATGAAAAACTACATTATGGCAGTGTATTAAAAATCTTGTAAAGGAAAGAACACAGGATGTATATGAGGTAGAGTACCTCTATCTGAAGGAGCTGTTCTTTTACAGAATAAGGCTCCTGGAGATGCAGCTGCAGTAACTGTGTGCTCTGCTACAGGGTAGTGGCAGTCAGTGCATCCTCATTTCACAGGCACAGAGTGAACATTTCCAGCCACAGTTTTAGGGTATTCCTCAAAGGGCCACCACCTCAAGAAAGTTTTGTTCCAACTGGCTAGCAACAAGAAACAAGCTAATTACTGTAACACTTACCAAAGGAGGAGGTGGTGGTTGGACTGTGTAGGGGGGAGGTGGTGTGTCTGTTATTTCTGGATCATCATGTTCGCTTTCGCTGTAGCATTCTGAGGCAGACATGGAAAATGAGCAAAAAACAAGTATTAGACCAGCACTCGTTTACTCCTTGCAGTGCTGTGGTAACCAAAGATCACCACGTAAGATGTTTTGAGCTGAGGAACATGCTGCAACAAGTCAGTGTCTCCTTTGGTGAAAATTAACCTGCTTGTGGTAATGCTACACTACTTCATGGCAACATTTATTCTTTTTTTTTTTTTTTGTAGGTTAAAAAACCTTACTAATCTGCTATAGCAGGAAACGCTAGGTGGCACTGCTCTAGATAGCTTCACAAATAGGTTTGGAGTGGGGTTTTTTTTGCAACCTTTGAAAGAAAGGCTGTATCATTTGTAGTGTAAGTTAGGGAGACCTGTTGCAAGTAGCAGATGCTGTTCTTTGATCTCTGTAGCCAGTAAGTTTCCTGGAGCTAGCGACAGGCATTGGTGTTTTGGCTGCAATTTTTGAAAAAACAGATTGGTCACACAGTGCTTTGGAGACCACAGAGCAGCCTCATGAGAGTCTTCTGTCACCACACGGTAACTCACACAGGCACGCCATGTGGCATGGCAGTACATGTGCAGAGCTAGTACTAAAAGTAAACACAGTATTCTAGGACTATACACTCCATCCATCTTTTTCTTTTTTTTTTTTAAATGAAAAGCAAGCTGATAGAGCTTCAGTATCTCTTGACATGTGTCAGAGAAGCAGACATGGTTTTATTTCTTTCAACTCCCTGCGTAGCAGGTGAAAGCATTTTCTCAGATGCTTTTTGAAAGTGAATTGAACGAAGTGATAATCCTTGATAAATGAGTCACAGAAAAGAGGAGGCAGTAAGTTGCTGGTTCCTATTCCCAGAGCCTGGCTGTAACCACCGAGCAAGATCACTTCCCTCTGCTAAATGTCCCAGCATGCATCAGCCTTTCAAGTTTATAGGAGCAAGTGCTTGCACCCTGCCCTGCACCTCGTGTGAAGAGTGACAGTGTTCACCCCCACCTGACAGAGCAGGGGACACGAAAGGCTGTAAAGACTTAGTTAGCGCTCAGTAAGGACAACAAGAGTGAGTGCAGAGCGTCACAAGAGCACAGGCTGTCCCTGTGGTCTGCATGGGAGCTGGCACTTGGCACTGCCTCCTCCTCCGACGGCTGCATGCAGCAGCTTGTGTTGTCCAAGGGCAGCTGGGTCTCTGGTGGAAGCAACCCTCCAGCTCTGTCCCCAAGTGGGTGAGGCTTGTTTATGTTGTAGGACTACTTTGTAAGAGATGGACTTCATGGGTTCATATCACTAGAAAGCAGTGTGTTAGCAGGGTCTCTGGGAAATCACCTGTGATTATCTCCTCTTTTAACTAAATTAGTAGTCATACACTGGTTTTGTGCATGTCATTTGAGGGATTTTAGTAACCACAGGGTGACAGGAACTAAGTTTTAAGAGAAAAGAATTTTATACACTAGAGAGAGGTTTCTAAGATATTAACAAAGTGAAACTTGAAGAGATCCATTACTTTTTCTCCCTGCACTCTTTGCAGAATTATAGGGGCTTTAATAGCATACCTGCTATTTTGTTTACTAGAAATAATGTGCTGGCACATCTTAGCATAAAGGACTGAGACTGGCTGCAATAAGGCCTATATCAAATTCTAATGCTCTATTAATGCCTTCTTGAATAACTCTTAGTAAAGAGCTTATTGTTTCTACAGCTTCCCTTTTAGGCATGCAGAACAGCTGAAAAGAGTCAGCAGCTGTTTCTGATACTCTAAATAGGCAAATGGGTTTGGGGG